GAACAGGTTAGTGGTCCCCGGGATTTAAAATTATGAGTTTGGTGGTCCCTGAGGTCCAAAAGGTTGGCGATCCCTGTTTTAGAGGGTTGTTGAGGCCACTTGCAGGTTTATCTAAAACACAAGAATGTCCCGTTGCCTCTGAAAAAGCACCTTTGGGACTACTGTGACCTGGATGACTGAGAATCTCTACAAGAGTTTGGGTGCGATTGTTCAACCAGTTGCTAATTTACTCCACACTGTACCTTCAGACCCACATTAAGCCATCTGCCCCAGAAGGATATCATGAGAGATTTCCTCAAATGCTTCTTTGCAATCAAATGTATTGCATCCATAGCATTCCCTTGGTTAACCCAGTCTAAACAGACAGAACCAAAAAAAAAAAGAGAGGTCAGATCAGGCAGGCACAAGGTATCCTTGACAAACTCATCCTGGCAACAGTAGTATCTTCTCAGTATCCCCTGCTTGGAGACTTGCTCTATCTTGTATCTTGCTGTCATGCCCCCTGTTGGAATCTGATTCTGAGGGGGAGGTCGAGCAGCTGATAGGGAGTGAAAGTGTGGCTCCGGTGCCTGGGGAAGGGCAAAGTCCGGCTGGGCATTCAGAGGAAGATCCAGGCCCACCCCCCTCTTCATCCTAGGGCTCGCAGGGAGGAACGGAGAAGGAGCAATGTGAGTTAACTGGTTTACAGGGGAGGAAAGGGCCCTGATCCCCTTCATTAGCTGCAGCTGGGAAAACTGTTTAAAAAGGCAAACTATGCACAGCAAAGTTGCTGGAAGCAAAGCGTGCATTATCTTTGTTTGTCAAGTCTTATCTGGGTTCCGGCATCCTCCCAACTGTGTGTGTTTCATTATCTTTTGGAAGTCTGCCATTCCTGATCCTGCCCTGTCTCGTTAATTGCTGCAGCAGGGTTTGTGTTGGTTTTTCTTTATAATTTAGATGTACTTTGGGTTCTGATGGAATTTCTCCCCTTTAAAAACTGTTCTTGGGAGAGTTTTTTTTTTCCTCCAGCCGATGATAACTGGACATTGGGGGCCAAGTTGGAGGAATTTACCTACTTTACCTACCTTTGTGACTTTGTTGCTTTAGAGTCATGCTCTGGGTCATCACAATTGCTAACACCAAGTGGTTGGATGCTCTGCAGCTTTCCAGCTCCTTCCCTTCTGAGTATCCTACAGGCCAGCAGTCCCCAACCTTTTTGGCACCAGGGATTGGTTTCATGGAAGATCATTTTTTTCCATGGACTGTGGGGTGTGGTGGGGCAGAGGATTGTGCAACTTAGATCCCTCGCATCCCCAGTTCACAGGGGTAGGGTTCCCATTTTATGCCTGATGATCTGAGGGGAAACTGAAACTGTAATGTGAGTATTGTGGCACCTCTGCAAATACAGATGAAACTTCGCTCACTTGCCCACCCGCTGCTCACTTCCAGATGTGCAGCCTGCTTACTAACAAGCCATGGACCAATACCGGGGCCTGGTCTGAGGATTGAGGACCACTGATGGGCTGCTGCTAATTCAGACCAGTTCTATCGGACCGGTAGTTCCAACGATCAGCTGGACCCACAGCCACCATATTCTGTCTTATATTTCCATCTTTTTCAGCTCAGCTGATTCACGTGGCACAGTGGATTTCCGCGCCTCAGCTGTTCTAATTACTGGGGCCGCCTAGAAGGTAAGCTGTAAAGGTTTGAATTGGTGTTTTTTGAATGCTGCGCATGCGCTCACAGAACCGGTTGTTAAACCAGTTGCAGCCCATCACTGTTGGGCACCCCGGCTACAGAAGGAACTCTTTGGAACTATAGAGCTATTATTTCTATCACACAAAGAGCAGGTGCTTTTTGTAGATTTTAGTTCTGCATTTAACACAATTCTTCCACATAGACTAGTGTCTAAACTTCTGGATCTTGGTCTTTCTTATTCAATCTGCCTTTGGAGTATGGATTTCCTGACTGGCCACCCACGGAGGATCAGATTAGGTAATCATACCTCTTCATCCCTTATTCTTCACACTGGTACACCACAGGGTTGTGTGTTGAGTCCCTTACTCTATACTCTTTATGTGCATGACTGCATTCCCACTCACGCTAGTAATACTATTGCTAAATCTGCAGATGATATAACAGTGGTGGGACTAATCTCTGGGGGGGATGAGTCTGCCTACTGAGATGTGGTGGACCAGTTGCTTTCGTGGTGTGGAGGCCATAACTTGGTCCTCAAGACCAAGACCAAGGAGCTTATAGCAGACTATAGAAGGAACAGATCAGACATCCAGCCCTTGCTAATCCATGGAGACCGAGTGGAGCAAGTGGTCAGTTTTAAGTTTCTGGGTGTTACCACAAAAGAGGACCTGTCCTGTGGGGCTCAAATTGCACCCCTGGTCAAAAGGGCCCAGCAGAGATTATACTACCTGAGCCTTCTCAGAAAACAACTGAATGAGAAACTGCTGGTGACTTTCTACTACTGCATCATAGAGTATCTTGACTTACTGCACCTCTGTATGGTTTGCCAGTTGCACAGGGGCAGATAGGAAAGCACTCCAGAGGGTTAAAGTCAATGCCCAGAGGATCATTGGTTGCCCTCTCCCCTCTTTGGAAGAGCTTTAGAGCTCTTGCTGCCTGAAGAAAGTTCAAAATATTCTCAAAGATCCATCTCTTCCTGGGCACCCTTTTTTTGAACTATTATCATCTGGCAGACGGTACAGGATAATAAAAACAAGGACAAATAGGCTGAAAAACAGCTTCTATCCCAGGGCAGTAACTCTATTGAATTCTACTGTATCGTGCAGTGTTGGTGCGGTGTTGCAGGTTTTCAGTTCAATGTGTGGAGTGTGAAAGATGTGTGTTTGTGTTTATTTTCATGGTCATGATGTGCACTGAAGATGGTGTTCGATTTTGTTGTACAAGGTGCAATGACAATAAAGCAAACTAAATGTAAAAAAAAAAAAACACCACACACCAAAGTCCAGTTTCTGCTCCTTAATTCATTTTCAAGGCAAAGATGTTTCATTCCTGGCTTCCTATTTATGATCAGGCTGCATTCAGAAAATAATGGTTCAGAAAACATAACCAGAATAAAATATTCTTTCTCCTCTCGAGATACCAGAATTCAATCAAAAAGGATTAACAGCGAGTTCAGAACCGAACACAATCCTTTCACTCAATTCATGGCTATTAAAGAGCTGATATCAGTTGACCGTATGGAAAATCTTAAGAAAATCTGACTTATAATCAGAAAGGGCTGCAGACAAACAGAGATAAATTTGGAGAGGGGGCGTACTTTGTTACATCTGGGGCAATTATTGGCTCAGGACGATGGGATTATTTTGATTACAATCACAATCTGCATTGACATTGACATTTGAACTGACATCTAATAATAATCCAAGTTAAAGGAGACGATTTTTTTTAAAAAAAAACAGCACGCATGAAGACATTCTCTGTAATCCTTGCCCCTAAAATCACCTTAACCCCAATTTTCCAACTACAGTCGGTGGCAAACATTGAAATCTGAGAAAGATTGGATGGCACTGACTTTATGCTTCTGTTAGGTTGGGATACCCTCTTTCTGGGATCGCATCTCAGTTTTGAAGTTTTGTGGGAGTTAAGAAGCAGTGGAAGAATCAGAGAGATGCTAAGGGGAAAAAAATGGAGAAGAACATTCATTCCAGGTCACCTTTATAAGGATTATAATTGTGTGTTTTCCTTTGGAATGGGATTATTCTCTTCCCCATTCCAAAGGAAAACACACAGTTATAATCCTTATAATTGTTTCTAACAGGGTCAGCCACCAAGACTGAGACCTTTGTAAGCAGCGTTGGCTGGACTTTACTCCAGCTGTTGCAGATTATTTTCGTTTGCATCACTAGCACTGAGATACTGGCAAAAACGATTCTTCCCAGTCAAAGGGTAGCAAAACCCAAGAATCAAGGCAAGATACATCCAATTGACAATCTTGTTGCTTGCATCCTAATGATTTTTATTGACTGTTTCCTAGTATGAGTTGATTGCTTATCCTACCCTATGACTATTATTATATGTTGTACCTGATGATTCTTGACTCTTGATGAATGTATCTTTTCTTTTATGTACACTGAGAGCATTTGCACCAAGACAAATTCTTTGTGTGTCCAATCACACTTGGCCAATAAAGAATTCTATCTATCTATCTATCTATCTATCTATCTATCTATCTATCTATCTATCATCTATCTCATTAAAACCACGAATGCGTTTCTGCTAAGGGAATGGGGTTCTCCTCTCCCACCCCGTGTACCAAATAAACCCCTAAGCCCAGGAGTCCTGCAGCTCCTGCAGAACCGCGAGACCTCAATGACATTTCCTCCACCGCTACTCTCTCGAAGGATTACAGATGTGCCACCACCTGCCTTGCCGGGGCTATTTTTAACTTCCCTCTAAATACAGCCGCTGCCTCGCAGCCATTAGCACCTCTCTTCTTTCTCTCTCTCTCTTTTTGATGTATTGCTTCAATTAGCTTCTCCAGATCCTTCTGCTCCCATTTCCTCAGTTCGCGGGAGTTCAGATAGCTTTCCTGCATGTTTGGGGGTGGGAGGAGAGAGAGCCAGGCAGGGAGAAGGCAAAGCAACGCACCCCGCGCTCCACGCAGGGCAAGAGAAACTCCCTGAACCCCGGTGCTAAGTTTTGGGAAGGGCTACGCAACAGAGAATCCAGCGGTGTACAAAGACACACACACACACACACACACACCCCTTCACAAACACACGCAGAGACCACACGAGTAACAGCTCAGATTCCAGAGGGGGTCCTTCTGGGTTCAGCACCCTGGACAGCTCCGCCGCCGGAGACCGCCTGCTTGCCGGCTTCAGCCGAACGAGGAGCGAGCCCGGCCCGGGACAAGGCGCCGGATCGGTCGCTTGCAGCGGCCGCGGAAGTCCGAGAGTGGCGGCGGCGGCGGCGGCGGCGCCTGTCGGGTTCTCCGGGGCCCGGAGCGAAGAGACGGCCAAGCGGCGCCGCTGGCTACCTACCTCGGCGTTCTCGGTGGCGTTCTCCGCCATTTTCCTCCGGAGGAGCAGGCAGCGGGACGAGTGTTTCATGCCCATAAGAGCGGCCCTTCCCGTGCCCGCAGACGGCGCTCAGCGAGCGGCTCCGCTCTGAGCCAGCCAACCCAGCGCCGCGAGCCTCCTTCTCTTCTTTCCCCTCCTCCTTCTCTTCCCCTCCTCTTTCTCTTCCTCCTCCTCTTCCTTCTCTTCCTTCCCCTTCTCCTCTTTCTCCTTTTCCTCCTCTTCCTCCTCCCTCTTCCACCGGCACCCGAGCGACCGCCCCCCGCCCGCCTCCCCCCCCCCCCCCTCCCCCCCCCCCCCGCCCGCCTCCTTCCCTTCCTCCAAGGAAGGGGGCTCGCTCCTTAGCCCCGCCGGACTGCTGTCCCGCGGAAGCCGCGGTGAAGATGGGAAGCTTTCTAGGTCAGCCGAGCACGGCTGCGGCTCCCGCTTCCCCGCCGCGGAGCGGAGCCGCGCTCCTAACGGGAGCCTCCCCGATTCCGGGCCTGTCCCGTCCGCCCGGGAGAGACGGTCCCCATCGGAGACTCTCTTCCAATCCCCGGGACTTTTCCCCGAGCCCGGAAGGGCCTTCTCGGCCCGAATTGGAGGGTTCCCCACCCGGCCTGGGGAGCCCCCCCGCACCCCACCCCGGCCTCAGCCGGACGGGCTTGTCGCCGCTGTCCTGACTGCGGACCTGCACGGCGCGCTAAGCAAGTTAATTGAGTCAGCCCCTGCCTAGTGGTTGCACCAATGGACAAGGAAGAGGCAAAGCCCCAAACACAGGGAAGGGAAAGGCACCCTTCCTCCAGGATAGCCTCCCTCCAGTGGTGCGTTAACCACGAAGCAGCCTAAGCACGTGCTTAGGGGCACCAACCCCAAAGGGGAGCACCACAAAGTTGAGAACATGGCTTCGTTTGTACAGTATGTACAAAGGAAGAGGGTGTGGCCCCAAGGTTTGTCCGTGTTTAGGGCACCAGTGAGCCTTAATCCGCCATAGCCTCCCTCCCCTGGATGGAAGCCAAAGGCCAGAAAGTGGGCTCTCCCCCCCCCCCCAGCCCCCCAATTTCAAGGAGCCAGGCCCTTCACATGCTTCCCCTGCTGCATCCGGAACCCGGCTGAAACGCCCTATTCCTGCCGCCTTGTTGTTTCCCCTTCCCAAAATGTTTGCTAACTCTTCAAAGGAAAAGAATTGGTTTTCCAGTTATCTTTTTTTTAGCCCAAAACCAGGAGCCTGAAAAGCTTAGCCTTTTGCAGTTTCATTTGCCTTCCATGGAGGACCCTGAGTCAAAAAGAGGGCTGTGAAAATATTTACAGACCCCTCACATCCGGGACATAAACTGCTTCAACTCCTTCCCTCCTTGTACCCTCTGACTATCATTAAGTGTGGTACCTTAGGATTCTTGACACTTGATGAATGTATCTTTTCTTTTATGTATGCTGAGAGCATTTGCACCAAGACAAATTCTTTGTATGTCTAATCACACTTGGCCAATAAATCCATTCCATTCCATTCCATTCCAGTCTAGTCTAGTCTAGTCTAGTCTAGTCTAGTCTAGTCTAGTCTAGTCTAGTCTAGTCTAGTCTAGTCTAGTCTAGTCTAGTCTCATTCAATTTCCTATTTTATTCTATTCTACTGTACTCTCATTCTATTTTATTCTATTCTCATTCAATTTCCTATTCTATTCTATTCTATTCTCATTCAATTTCCTATTTTATTCTACTCTACTCTACTCTACTCTCATTCTATTCTATTCTATTCTCATTCAATTTCCTATTTTATTCTATTCTATTCTATTCTCATTCAATTTCCTATTCTATTCTATTCTCATTCAATTTCCTATTCTATTCTATTCTATTCTCATTCAATTTCCTATTCTGTTCTGTTCTGTTCTATTCTATTCTATTCTATTCTATTCTATTCTATTCTAATTCTCATTCAATTCTATTCTATTCTATTCTCATTCAATTTCCTATTGACTGACTCTTGACAAATGTCTCTTTTCTTTTATGTAGCCTTTGCACCAAGACAAATTCCTGGTGTGTCCAATCACACTTGGCCAATAAAGGAATTCTATTCTGGGACAGCCAAGAATGGAGACCGGGAGTCCTCTTTTCTCCGTACTCAACACTGCAGGAAATCCCTCTCCAGCGTTTTATCTCCGGCTCCCATCTGAAAGCTGGGTTGCTAGTCCTCCTTCGCCCCTCCCCCACCTGCTCTTTCTCCCCTTCTGGGGGCCATTAACACTGACCGGACCTGAGAGCCCTCCCAGATTTAGTTCTCAGCAATGCCCGTCACTTCCTGTAATGGGGGAATGGATTTTGGGGGGGAAGAAGGGAGGAGAGGCTGCCTAGGAAACCATTAGAGAAGAGAGGAAGTGGCTTCAAGGCCAGAAGAAGAAGGTTAAGAAGGACTCGTCCTAATGGATCAAGTACAGTCGTTAAAAGTGGGGGTGAGGTGGGGGTGGGGAAGTTTGGGTTTTCAGATTTGCATGGTTCCATTCACGTAGTTTTAAAGATAAAGGTAAAAGTTTCTCCTATCTAGGGGGCAATCTTGTTCATCTTTTGTTTCTTAGCTAAAGGAGCCAGCATTGTCCAAAGACATTTCCGTGGTCATATAGCCAAGCATTATACGCCGAGGTGCATGGAACGCATCGAAGTGGTACCTATTCATCTACTCACATTTGCATGCTTTCAAACTGCTAGGTGGGGCGGGAGGTGGAGCAAGTAATGGGAGCTCAGCTCGTCTGACCTCAATGTTGACCTCAATATTTTTCCTTGGCTTTCTGCGGACTGGACAATGGCCTTGAAGACCATCAAAGTCCATCCAGATGGCTTGAACCTGGCTGAAGTTCCTCGTGCCTTTTCTTGTCATAAATCCAGATGGTAAGAACAGAAGAGAAGCCCTTCCAACAGTTGGTGTCATCCCCTCACCTCTTACAACCTCTTGGGTTTTAATTTTGGTAACTTCACTTTCTGACCTTGCCCTGCTTTGTGCCAGTTGCTTTTCGGCAATTATGTCTTTTCCCTTGTTCCCTGAAAGATCTCCCGCAATACCCTCTGAACCCCGAGGGTCTTGTGATTCCTCCCAAGGCTTTCAACATTGGTGATGTTGTGGTTATCGTCGCACTATGTTGTATCGTTTGTCCCCGTGTTTCTTAAAGCACAACTGTCAGAGACGGGGCGATGACTCAGCAGTTAAAGATTGTTCAGATTGTCAGCTAGAAAGCTTGACCTGCCCGGGGTTCGAGACCCGAGTGCTGCATGATGGGGTGAGCTCCCGTTCCTTGCTCCAGCTCCCGCCCATCTAAGCAGTTTGAAAGCATGCAAATGCGAGCAGATAATTAGGTACAACTTCAGTGGGAAAGTAACTGCGTTCCATCTGCCTCAGCATGTAGTCATGCTGGCCATGTGACCACAGTAGTATCTCCAGACAATGCTGGATCCCTCAGCTAAGAACCAGAGATGACCATCGCTCCCTAGAGCGGTCACTTGAGACCTTCAAGAAAAGATTGGACTGCCATTTGTCAGAAATAGTGTAGGGTCTCCTGCTTGGGCGGGGGGTTGGACTAGATGACCTATAAGGTCCTTTCCAACTCTGCTTATCTGTTATCCTAGAGTCAGACACCACTGGACAAGGGGAAACTTTTACCTTGACGTCAATTGTCAGATAATCTGTTAAGATTAGCGGCTCCTCCTGAATCCCTTGGGCAGCCCCTTCTTCACTCTTTAGTTAGCTTGCTTGGGTAGCTTCAGTTTAAGAACTCTCCATTCTTACCAGTTTGGGCAGTGCCCAAACGGGTGGTTCCTTTGCCACCTCCCCAGCAACAAAACTTGAGAAGAAACACAACTGCCTGTTGTGGCCCTCTGGCAGCTGACCAAGCTGGCAGCAGAGTTGGACAGTAGTGAGGAGGTTGGGGAGGAGCCTGGGCCAGTCTTGGAGGCTGAGAAGGGCTCAGACGAGGGTTCTGCATCAGAGGCAGAGATGGGGCCAGGGCAGGCTGGCAGTCAGCAGCTGCCTTTGGGTTTGGACAGCAGTGATGCGGGGTGTCAACTCATAAAATATTTCTCTGGTCTTTTTAGAGTTGCCAATAGAAAGGCAGGGGGGAGCAGTGCAGCCGCTTGCAAACAGAAACTGCATTCCATAAATGTTTTCAAAGATAGTAACTAGGTGACCAAAGTTTATGCCTTGCAAAATTCTAACTGGAGAGCATGATTGGTGACTCTGGGCTATGGAGGTGTCCCATTGGAGAATCTGAATTACGATACACCCAGGGGGTGGGGGAAAACCAGGGTCAAGGGGGACAATGAATTATGTGCCTCAGAGTCAGCTACACCCAGGCAGTGCCAGACATGTTAACTCTCAATAAATCCTTTTTAAGTTTTGGAAGTTTGGCTCGGGACTCATGATTAAAATGGGGGGAACTGATGGAATCCTGACAGTTAGCTGACTCTGGTTCCCAGCCTGTGCAAGTACAGGGCTACAGAAGACAAGAACAATTGAGAAAGCAGGGCCAACTCAGGAGTAAGGCCACAACTCAGAGATGATTATCCCCTCCCATAGAAGAGGAGCAAACAGGACGTCAGCTTTTGCAGGAAGCAATTAGTTCACCTGGTCGGTTCAAGCTTTGAAAACTTCTGTTTGACTCTGTGTCAAGTTTGGCCTTGCCCTGTGTCTGGCAATTAGTTCTCTGGCCACATTCCAAGTGTGATAAAGATGGGTGTTTCTAAACGTTCCCATGAAAGATTGTTTGCGAAGGCTTGCAGGCTGGGAATGAACGTAATTCACAGCTGTGGAAATAAAAGAGGTTTTGCCAGGATTAAGATTATGCTTTCTAAGGAAGCTGTCATGCCCCTGTTGGAGTCTGACTATGAGGGAGAGGAGGAACAGCCGACAGGGAGTGGAAGTGTGGCTCTGGAGGTTGTGGAGAAAATTGGGGAAGGGCACAGGCCGGCTGGGCATTCAGAGGAAGACCCAGGCCCATCCCCTCTCCATCCTAGGGCACACAGGGAGGAGCGGATAAGGGAGAAATGTGAATGACATGGTCTATGGGGGAGGAAAGGGC